TGATGATGATGATGATGATGATGATGATGATGATGATGATGATCAGGATCAGGATCAGGATCAGGATCAGGATCAGGATCAGGATCAGGATCAGGATCAGGATCAGGATCAGGATGCTGATGATGATGCTGATGCTGATGCTGATGATGCGGATGATGCTGCTGCTGATGATGAGGATGATGATGATGATGATGAGGATGAGGATGAGGATGAGGATGAGGATGAGGATGGATGAGGATGATGATGATGATGATGATGATGATGATGATGATGATGATGATGATGATGATGATGGATGATGATGATGATGATGATGATGATGATGATGATGATGATGGGATGGGGAGGAGAAGGAGAGGAGGAGGAGGGAGGAGGAAGAGGAGGAGGAGGAGGAGGAGGAGGAGGAGGAAAGGGGAGGAGGAGGAGGAGGAGGAGGAGGAGGAGGAGGAGGAGGAGGAGGAGGAGGAGGGAGAGGAGGCCGGCACGAGCGGAGGCGGCAAGGCCCGGCGAGGGCCGGGGTCCGCTGGCGAAAGGAGGTGGAGGAGAAGGGGGGGAGGGGGAGGGGGAGGGGGAGGGGCGGGAGGAGCAGGAGGAGGAGGAGGAGGAGGAGGAGCAGGAGGGGGAGGGGGAGGGGGAGGAGGAGACCGGGACGAGGGGCGGCGGCAACGCCCGGCGGGGAGCTGCTGACGAACGATCCGTACACACCCGTACCCATACGGGGGGGTTCGAAAGAGAGGAGGACTGGCTGTGCTGATGCGCGATGGTTGTTGGATCCCGAGGGGGGCTCCCGTTTCGGCGGGGACCCGCATCTCTGACACCACACGCCCATAGCCCCCTTCCCTTTCCCCCCTCTGGGTATTTTGGCGTCGCTCGGACGTGTGCATTTTTTCCTCGGCGAGGACCATGGAGGACCATCCTGGTTGACTTAAGTAGCCAAAAAAAAACCTTTCAAAATCGAAAAGTACACGAGGAATGGACGTCCGAGCGATGGCAGGGTATGGGTGTGCTTGCTGTTCGCTCGTCGGCGGCAGCGGCGGCGCGGCGAGCCCGCCCTCTCTCAGGAAGACCTCCGGCGCCGCGGTCGGCCCCCCGGCGGCGCCTGGGCGACGCGCGCGGCGGCCCGCCTGGCGCGTTGCGAGCGCGCCACTGTCGCGCCAGGAAAATCAGCGGGCGAAGAACGGTATGAAATAAACTTTTTTGCCGTCGGGGACACCTGCCCCTGGGCGGCTGGAAAGTTTCTACCCCTACGGTGCCACCGTAAGGGTGTAAACTTTCCAGCCGCCCTGGGACAGGCGCCCCCGACAGCGAAAAAGTTTATTTTATACCGTTCTTCGCCCGTTGAAAGGGGCCCGCGCGCGCGGGCGGCCTCTGGTCGTCGAGGGTTGGGCGCGAATGGTGAGGGGGGCGATGAATGGGAGGGGGAGAGGCCCAGGACCCCGACGTCGTGCTTTTTTGTTACCACGTCCACCCCCGGAGCTCTCGGCCCCTTCCCCGGGGTTGGGTTTTTGTGCCGATTCGTTTTCTGATGGTCCCGAGGCCCGGTAAGGGCCCCCGGAGGCCGAAAAGCACGAGAAGCTTCCCGTCGTTTTTTTTTTTTTTGTTCCACAGCGCGAGGGGGTTTTGGGAAGGTGCCCCTTCGGGGCCTCAGAGGCTTTCTTTGGGGCCCTCAAGGGTCCCTTGTCGGCAGCCTTCGCTGCCCCCCCAGGAGCTCGCGCCCGGGAGGGCCGGCGCCCCGCAGCATGTCAGCGGTCCCCAACCCAGACATGATCGCGTCGTGAGAATACAGTGCGGGCGCGGCCGCAAGAAACCCTCACAAGAAACCCAACCCCGAAAGCCCGCGCGCGGGGTGCACCCGAGGGGAAGCCTGGAGCACCCTGAACGCAGCAGCTCCTGCAACGGCTGCGGGAAGTCACCGCGCAGCGCGCGGAGCGAAGAAACCCAGGGTACCCTGACGAAAAGTAGATGGTTTCTTGATGCGCGCCCCCACTGTATGGCCCCCCCCCCTGCCCTGACCTTCCTACTTCCAGGCCTTTTAAGAAGCCTCGACTGGATTTTAGATGTCGAGGTCCTGGTGCTAGATGCTATTACGTAATACGTAGTTTACGCTCCCCCCTTCCCATCACGTAATTAACGCTCTCCCCTCCCAATCACGTAATTAACGCTCTCCCCTCCCCGGTGCGTCCCCGGCTCCAGGGGCCGATTTTCGGCACTCGCTTTCGCTGGCATCTCGGGGTACACCCTCCTCCCTCGTGTCCTCCACCCCTCGCCTCCTCCAGGTGTCCGCGGGGCGGGCCTTCTGAAGGCCGCCGGCGCGGCCCCCGGGCGTGCCACTGGCCGGGCGGCTAGCGGCTGGCCCCTCCGCCAGCCCCAGGGTGGCGAAGGGCAGCGGGGTCACCTGCAAGGGAGGGCGGGCGGGGGGGGAGAGAGTGGAGGCGGATGGAGGACCCGGTGCAAACCGAGTATCGGGCCGGGCGAAAGGGGGGGATTGGGAAAGGGGGGTACGAAATTTGCTGCATGCAGCTGGTTTCGGCCTCGCCGAGGAGCCCATTCCTCGATACATAAGCCGCCTCCGGCGCCGGGAGGCGCTGGGAAAATCAGCTACTTGAGCTGATTCTCACCCCCCCCTTTGCTATCCCCCCCTTTCGCCCGACCCGACAGTACGCGTCCACGCTGCTGCATCGAAGCCTCCCTCCCAGCTTCCCTCCTCGCAGGTCCCTGGTAGCGAGTGCATGTTCATGGCGGCAATCCGAAGCCGGGCGGCGGCTGACAAACCCGTGGCTGCTAAAACGGAGCTCCAGGAAGTTGTTTTTTCCTTCCGGGAAGCAGCCCGTTTATTATTTAGTGCGCTGAGTTTGATTCTGGGAATTTGTTAATTTCTTCCGTTTTAGCAGCCACGGATTTGCCAGCCCTCGCCCAGCTTCCAAGGCGAGCGCCCCCTTCGGAAGACAGCCGCTCGAGAGCCTCCACTCGTCCGCCTCGTGCGGGCAGAGGCTCGCCCCGCCTGGGCGCGGCCGCGCCGCGGGCGCGGGGCGCTTCCGGGCGGAACGCCCCTCCCCGGGGCAGCCGCCACGGGGGCTCCCCCCCTTGGGCGGCAGAGGCAGGCCAGCCACCACTGGGGGAGCTGTGTTCCTCACCCCCCTTTCTGGGGGCCCCTCGACTTCGACACCCCTCGCCAGAGATCGTCGATGCGAGGGGTTCCCCCGCGGGGGGTAAGGGCCACAGCTCCCCCAGTCATGGCCGGTCGGAGAGAGCGCCCGGGGGCTCGAGCGCCGAGCGACGGGGGGTGCGATGGATGTGTCGGCGGCGCGCGAGGGGGGGGACGTTGCGGGCTCGAGGTTCGCGAATGGTTCGGGCGCGCGCGCGTCGGTCCTCGGCGCTCTGCCGGCCCGGGGGGGGGGCCCGCCACCAGTAGCTGCGCCCCGCCGCGCGGGCGCTCCCCGGGGAGGCCGCGGAGCGATCCCGAGCGACCGCCGGAGGCCCGAGTGCTGAGCCAAGTTGGGCGCGGCGTAATGGGGGGGTCCTAAATGGGGGGGGGGCGAGGGTGGTTCGAAAAGGTACCCAAACGGTACACCTTGGGCGATGCGTAAGAAAACTCAAGTTTTCGGCCAGAGTCTCGATTATTCTTAACTTTTCAATGTAAATCCCAAGATTTTGATAGAAGTTCTGGGTTTTATTCAATTTCTGAGACTATGAATTTCTTAACCCATGATTTCTTAAGCATTTCGCAGGGTGTAATGGGGGGGTCATAAATGGGGGGGGGCGAGGGTGGCTCGAAAAGGTACCCAAACGGTACCTATAAACGAGCCCCCTGGGGCTCCGGAGGGGCCCGAAAGGGGCACGAAAGGGGACCTTTTCTGACCCCCCCATTAGTGACCCCCCCATGAAGCCACGCCCAACCAAGAACCGGATCGGCGGCGTGCACCGGGGGAGGTGATCAAAGGAGAGGGCCCTGGGTGAGGAGGAGAGGGCCCTCTCAGAAGGCGACGGGGCATCTCGGAAGCCCTCCGCGCCTTCTGCGAGGTGTTCTGCGTCTTCGGGGGAGCCGATGGACCACTCCTCGGCAGGCCAGGGGGCTGCCGAGCCTCCCGAGAAGGCCCGCCCCGTCTCGTTTCCCCCCCCTCGCCCGCCGTCGAGAACGGGGAGGCGAAGAAAAAGTGCACCTCTTTTGTGCCCTGAAGGGGCCCCCCTGGGGGCCTAAAAGGGAGCATGAAAGGTGCACGTTCTCCCCCCCCCACACTTCCCCCCCCCCCTCCCTCAGCCGCGCGAGGGGGGGGGCAGGGGGAGGGGGGAAGGCTTCTTAGAAGCACCCCTGAGGCTTGGAAGGCGCCGGCCTCGTCTATAGATGCAAGGCCGGCGCATGCTGAGAAGCAGCCTCTTTCTAGGAAGCCTTCCTCTCTCCCCCTGAACCTCATGTGCGCGCCGCCAACTCGTATCTCCGCAGCCATTTATCGGCTCCGAGGCATTTTTGGTTTGCACCCCGCGCGCGGTGCACAATATATCCTTGGCATCGTTCGGACGTGTGCCTTTTCTCTCGTCCAGGACCATCGGGCAGCCTCTGAGCCATCCTGTGAGAAAAGACACGCACGAGGCCGAGGAGTGCTCGGGGAACTCACGTCCGACCGATGGCAAGACATCATATATTCGATTGCGAGGAGCTGCCCCCCCGCGGCCCGCCGCTGCGAGCGCACGCGACGATGGCGCCGAGGAGGCTCCTGCTGGCCGCCGTGGCCTCCGCGGCGGCCGCGGGCGGCGCCGTCCTGGGGCTCCGCGCCTTCGCCGGCGGGCCAGCGCCGCCCGGCGCCCCGCCCGCGGGCGGCGGCCACTTCCTCGGCCACGCGGGGCCGCGGCAGCCGCCCCCCGCCGCGCCCGCGGCGCCCGAGGAGCCCGCCGGCGGCGCCGGCAGCGGCGGCGCCGCCTGCGCCGCCGCCTGCGCGGCGGGCTGCGCCTTCGCGGCCGCGGCCGCCGCAGCGTCGCGGCAGCGCCGCGCGGGCGCCGCGGGAGGCGGCGCGCCGCTCCGCGCGGCAGCTCCGCGCGGCGGTGCCGCGGGCTTCGTCGGCGGGTCGGCGGTGCCGCTGCTGGTTCGCCCCGACGAGGCTCCGGGCACGACTGGGGTCTGCAACCACTCGGGGGCCCCCAAACGGTGCGGTGACCACACCGCGCGGTGAGTCGGTGGGCATTCGGGGTCACCGCACGGTTTTGGGACTCGGCTCGTTCTCCGAGGACGTCTCGGGCGACGGGGGCCTCCGAGGTCCCAAGACCGTGCGGTGACGGACCGTGCGGTGAGGTCTTGGGGGATTTCGAGGTCACCGTACGGTGCGTCACCGCACCGTTTCGGGACTCCAAAAACCACAACGGACTATTTTTTCTGGAGGGGCCCGCGGGGAAGATCGTGCCGAACGAGAGGGGGGGAGAGGGAAAGGGGGGGTTATGAAATCTGCTGCATGCAGCTGGTTTCGGCCCCGCCGCCGGGCCCATTCCTCGATACATGGCCGCCTCCGGCGCCGGGAGGCGCCAGAAAAATCAGCTACGTGAGCTGATTCGCAAACTCCCCCCTTTGCTATCCCCCCCTGTCGCCCAGCGGCCTCGACATGAACACATTGGCTGTGGCTGTGGTCGGTTTGGCCGTCCTGGGGCGCCGCATCGACTAGAACCAACACCGAGCTGGCTTCGGTGTTCTGACGACTGTTGGCAAGCGCAGGACATTCCCCAGGGTGTGTCCTCGACGTGGTTGTGGTCCCTTGCTCTCCCAGCGGAGGCGCCGCGGGCGCGCGCCGCGGTGGCGTGCCGCGCCATGATGTTCGAGCGCTTCACCGAGAAGACCATCAAGGCGGTGATGATGGCCCAGGCCGAGTCCCGGCGGCTGGGGCAGGACCACGTTGGCACGGAGATGCTGGTGGTGGGCGTGGCCTCGGAGGGCACGGACGTGGGCTACCTCGCGCTGGCGAGTCTCGGCGTGCGGACCCAGGACGCCCGGGCGATGCTGGAGGAGCGGCACGAATGAATTGGGTACTCCAGATTTCGTAATAAAGGGAGGGGGGTCTCACTTCGGGGGGGGTCTCTTCCAGGCTATCTTGGAGGGCCTGGGGGGTCTGGGGACGATGTTTTGGAGTGTTCTCCCGCGGGGGAGGTCTGAAATGGCTTGTCTTGGAGGGTCCAGACCCCCTCCCTTTTACTACGAATTCTGGAGTACCGCAAGAACGGGCACGAAGGCCGACGGCATTTCACGTTCATTTTGAACGGGAGTCGCTGTCGGCGTCGCTGTGGAGTCGAGCAGTGGCGAGGCGCCCTTGCTCGCCCAGAGGCTCACCAACAGCTGTTCGATAAGAGCCCTGTGTGGTTCGCGCGAACCGTTGTTAGAACATTTCTGGCTGAGATAGTGCTCTTTGAAGCAATCGTGTTGATGCTGTGTTTTGAGCATTAGTTCTGATCCTCTGCCGCGGTAGGCCTCTGGGGATGCCGGGACGGTCGGTCCCTGCTCAAAGGAGGTCGTCGGCAGCGGCAGCGGGGGCAGGGCGCTCGAGATCCCGTTCACCAGCGCCGCCAAGAGAGTGCTCGAGAACTCCATCGAGTGCGCCCGCTCGCAGGGCAGCTCGTCCGTGGGCACCTCGCACCTGCTGCGGGCCATCCTAGCCCATGAGGATCGGGGGGCCCAAAACAGTCACACCACCACCACCTCCCTCACCCCCTCCCTCCCCCTGGAAAGAGGAGAGGGAGAGGAGGGTAGAGGAGGGAGGAGGAATCGAAGTGGTGGTGGTGGTGGTGCATATTCTTGGGGCCCGGGTCAGGAGTCCGACGCCGGGTCGAAGCTGCTGTGCCGCCTGCTGAGCTGCGACGGCGCGGAGGCCACGCGGGCGAAGCTGCTGGGCGCGCTGGAGCGCGAGGAGAGCGCCGGGGGAGCCACCGCCAGCGGCGGCGCGGCGGCGCCGGCCGGCCGCTGGAGCAGCAGCTCCGCGCCGGCGGCGGCCGCGCCAGTGCAGGACTCGGGCGACCGCAAACATGGACCAAGGGGGCGTGGCTTGGCGACGGGCCCCGTTTCCATGGGGAATCAAGGGTTCCCGCCGCCGAGCGAGGCGGCACCGGCCGCATTTTGGGGGGGCCACCTCCCCCGATCCATGGCTTCGGCGACCGCGCGCCAAAGCCATGGATCGTTAGTCCATGTTTGCCCGCCCCCGAAGGACGTGGACCTGACGCAGACGCTGAAGTACGGTGTGGACCTGACGGAGGCCAGCGCATCGTTGAACCGATCATAATATTCAGAGCCCCGAATCATCAGGGGTAACTCGGGTCAGGGCTAACTCGGGTTCGTTTTTCGGAAATCCGAACCCGAGTTGCCCCAGGCCCGAGTTACCCCGGATAATTCGGGCGTCCAGAGCCCCGAATCATCAGGTCGTTTTTCGGGAATTTGAACCCGAGTTACCCCGGGCCCAAGTTGCCACGGATAATTCGGGCGTCCAAAATATCTTGGCGACTCATTCTTTTAGAGCCGGGCGTTCCCGCCTTTCTTCGGGCCCAGGGACCCTCGCAGATCGGTCCAGCTCGAAACGTGACGCAGAAAGGCGGTGTCTGATTAGGGCTCCTGGCGTGTTTTTTCTCTAAAAAAATCAGTTTAAAAATCTGTGTTATTTTTGTATCTTAATAAATGATATACAAACATGTAATATATATATATATATGTATATAGAGAGAGAGTGGAAAAAAACATACATATATAAGAACAGCGAAAACGATGTTGCCAACCAATTTTCCGAGACGCCGGATCTCTTTATATCCCTACGGGGCCATTGCACTTCGTCCCTCAGCCCTCCCGGGCTGGGCTGCGCCCCGCGCGAGCCGACGGCTACGGCACGTGCCCATTTGCACCGGGCAGTGGGGCCACGGCCACGCCAGCTGGCATGCTGCCTCCTCCTTCTCCTCCTCCTCCTCCTCCTCCTCCTCCTCCTCCTCCTCGCTCCTCCTCCTCGCTCCTCCTCCTCGCTCCTCTTCCTCGCTCCTCCTCCTCCTCGCTCCTCCTCCTCGCTCCTCCTCCTCCTCGCTTCTCACAGAGGCGGCCCGCAACGGGAAGATGGACCCGCTCATCGGCCGAGAGGAGGAGCTCAAGCGCACCATCCGCATCCTCGGCCGGCGTTCCAAGAACAACCCGGTGCTCGTCGGGGAGGCCGGCGTGGGCAAGACGTCCATCGCGGAGGGCTTGGCGCAGCAGATCGCGGCCGGGCGCGTGCCCGCAACGCTGAAGGACAAGCGCGTGGTGCAGCTGGACCTGGCGCTGCTGCTGGCGGGCACCAGGTACCGGGGCGACTTCGAGGATCGCCGTGGGGGGAAGCTGCTCTTGAGGGGTGTCGCCAGGGGATAGTCAGGAGGAGGACCAGGAGAAGGAGGAAGAGGAGGAGGAGGAGGACCAGGAGGAGGAGGAGGAGGAGGAGGAGGAGGACCAGGAGGAGGAGGAGGAGGGAGGAGGAGGACCAGGAGGAGGACCAGAGGAGAGGAGGAGGAAGACCAGGAGGAGGAGAAGGAGGAGGAGGACCAGGAGGAGAGGAAGACCAGGAGGAGACTGCAGAGCGAGGCGACGCGCCGCCGTGCTGGCGGGGAGGCCGTGGCTGGCCGGGCGGGCGGGCGGGCGGCAGGGAGGCCGCGGCCGGGCGGGCGGGCGGGGTCAGAGTCCCTGAGGTCTGCACGCCCGACATGGGCACCCAGACCTCCTCCTCCTCCTCCTCCCTCTCCTCCTCCTCCCCTCCTCCTCCTCCTCCTCCTCCTCCTCCTCCTCCTCCTCCTCCTCCTCCTCCTCCTCCTCCTCCTCCTCCCTCCTCCTCCTCCTCCCCTCCCTCTCCTCCTCCTCCTCCTCCTCCTCCTCCTCCTCCTCCTCCTCCTCCTCCTCCTCCTCCTTCTAGGGACTCCGAGGGGCCAACGATTTGGGTACTGAAAGAATGGGTACAGTGCCCATCAGCAGTTCCTGTTCATTTTGGACCAGATTCGCTGTCCACGCCGCCGCGGCCTGTGTTCCCTCGAGGCAGAAGGCCGCCTGCCCAGCAGCGGCCGCTGTTGGTTCGGGACGACATTTGCTGCTGGGCACTGTGCCCATTCTTTCCGTGCCCATCTCGGGCGTCCAAATAAGGGGTTTATCGATGTTTCGCCAGTCGAGGTCCCTAAGGGGGATCGAGCCAGATAGATCCAGTCAAATGCAGAAACATCGGGGTACCTCCAGGTCAATCCAGGCACATCCAGATACATCCAGGTAGATCCAGGTAAATCCAGAGACCTCCCGAGAAAGTTGGAGCAACTCGCGGCCGCTCCAGCGCGAGTCGAAGGACGGCAGAAACCGTTAAGCCTTGAGCGAAAGAGGGAAACGGGTCCTCGGGTTTCGGGCCCCAGGACTGTCAGGGAACGACTCTGGATGAAGATCTTTTGGGCCTCCCAGATCAGAAGAGGAAATGGTACCCATACCGAACCCTTCGCCCGTTTTCCCTTTTTGGGGGCCTCCTGGGAGGCCCTCGTCGCCACCGCTGGATTCGCCTCGAAATTCTGGTCTGAACGCACCCCGGGAGGTCCGGGGAGTAGCAGGATCGGTACCTTCTGGTTTCCCCTCTAGATGGGGTCGGAGTCGCTGTGGTCGGAGGATCGGTCCCCATCGCCGATGCGTCGGCGATGCGTCCCGATGTGGAGCCGAATCTGCTTCACGTCGACGTCGCCGATGCATCGCCGACGTCAGCGATGCATCGCCGACGTATCGGCGATGCGGCGCGATCCTCCGACCCCATCTGCTCCGACTCGGACCCCATCCAGGAGGCCTCCAGATCCCGTCCTGAGGGAAGGCCCTAATTGGGCTCCAGGACCCGTTTCCCGCAGGGCCCGTCTCCCCTATGCCGCCAAGAGGAGCGGTTGCGGGCGGTGGTCAAGGAGGTGTCGGAGAGCAACCGCCAGGTCATCCTCGTGATCGACGAGGCGCTCCGCTGGGGCGAAGGGAGCGCTGTGCCCGTGCACCGATCCGGGCCGCCGCCCTCCGCCCAGGATCGGTGACTGTGCCCTCCTGGCCAGGGCAGGAGGGCGCGGCGCGTGCACCGATCCTGGGCGCAGGGTGGGCCTGGCCAACGTCGGCGTATGTCCACAGATCGGGAGGGAAAGAAACACACAGACACAATGAATCGGCGATTCCCCAGAAAATATGGGAAAACATGGGAAGTGGGGGGGGAAGACAAAAAAACAGAAAGTGTGGGAAACTATTGGGAATATTGTTATTTGTGTGTATTTATTTGTGTGTCCCAGGGCCCCTTCAATAGAGTCAACCCGCATAGGAAGGATGAGCGACGTTCCGAGATTACCCTCGCATTCTTCCCCTCCGGCCCATCCTTGGCCGCTTTCGCTGGCCGCGCCCCGCTCGCAGCGTGTCGAACTGGCCTTGCAAAGCCCCCGAACCCTCACCGCGCATATCCTTATCATACGGGTTGACTGCATGCACCGATCCCGAACTCGGGGTGGGCCTGGCCTGAATCAGTGTGTGTGTGCATACTTCTCCACGCTCGCCCTCGAGGGCGCGAAGTGATTCGCGCTCCGCGGTGCGGCTCCGATTCCTCTCAGCTTCCCCTTCTCCCCCGTGGGGGCGGCGCGCGAGTGCGAAGTGATTCGCGCTTCGCGCAGCGCGAAGAGCGAAGTCGGACGCCCTTGTTATGCCTTCCTGGCAAAGGCAGGAGGGCGTAGGCACCGATCCTGGGCTCGGGAAGGGCCTGGCCAGCATCGGCGTACGTACATACTCGTCGGCCGCTGAAAGTAGGCCCAGAGCCCACCTGGACTCGGGAAGGGCCTGGCCAGAATCGGCGTACGTACATACTCGTCGGCCGCGGAAAGTAGGTCCAGAGCCCAATCTGCTTCAAGCGCCTTGCTACTCCCAGGATCGATCTGCTTTGCTGTGTTTTGCTATGCTCCAGGAGGGCCTGAACCCAGTCTACTTGATCCGCCTTCCTACTTCGTGACCGACGGGTGGATCTTAACTTACAGTCAATCCGCATAGCAAGGATGGGCAACCTTCCCAAGGGTGCACTTGCATATTTGCTTCATCGGCCCATCCTTGGCCACTTTCGCTGGCCGCACCCCGCTGGGGAAGAGCTTCGGAATGGGCGTCCGAGGCCCTTGCATCCTTGTCGCGCATCCTTCTGATACGGGCCGACTCTACTTCACCCGCTTCTTCTGGCCGACGGGTAGTTCTCTCTCCTCCGTCCCAGGAGGGCGCGGCTGAGACGGCGACACTGTGGCCTTCGGGGGGGGCTGTAGGACCCATCACTTGTGCGATTACAGCCAGCGTTTTTTTCCATGAGAATTGATACTGCTTGACGGAATCTCATTGTGTTCCAATTCTTGTCGATTGTATTCCCACTGGTAGAAAAGGAAGGGGGAGGGCGGTGAGGAGGTTCTATTGCTTTCGTATTGCAGTCAACTGGTTTTCGCATCACCGGGAACATGAGACAAACAGGACCAACAGTAGCAACCTTGTATTTTCATTGAGAAATATAAGCAAACACGCCACGAACCCTGTGAGTGCCGCTCTGTTCTTAGTTGTTTCTTATTTTTCCACGTGGGAGTAAGCTTCCGCTGCCCCCCCGTCCGCCATCCCTCCTCATCCTCCCTCCTCCACTGCAATTACGGTAGGATTGCAATAAGAAACAAGATGACCACCTCACTCCATCCCCCTCCTTTCCCAATTGTAGAGAAGGAAGGGGGAAGGGCGGTGAGGAGATCATAAGGCTTTCTCGCTGCAGTCCTACTGCGCATGCATTAGGAAGGAAAGGGAGACAGGAGGAGGGAGGGTGAAGAAGGGAGGGGTGGCGCGGAAACTTACCAGGAGAATTGGGGAAAAAAACAATAACAGCATGAAAACACATGTGTTTTCACAGAGACAGGAACAAGCCACGAATCCAGTGATTGTCGCTCTTTTTGTTGGTTGTTCTTGTTATCCATGTGGAAACACAGGCTTCGTCTCGTGTTTCATGTTTTTCCGGCTTTCCTGATAAGCTACCGTTGCTCCTCCCCCCTCCTCCGCCCTCCCTCCTCAGTCTTTCTTCCTCCTCCAATGCGATTTCAATAAGATTGCAATGAGAGACCAGATGACGACCTATCTCCATCCCCCCTCTTCCTATAGAAATGCGAACGGGGAGTTATCGGGAGTCCTATAGGTAGATATGGAAGGGGGGAGGACGGTGAGGAGACCATATGGTTTTCTTATTATAATATCATTGCGCTTGCACTAGAAAGTTTACTGGGGAACTACAGAAAAAGCAGGACAAACATACAAGCTGTTGTTTTCACAGTCATACATCGGAAAAACACACACACACAAACACACACACACACACACGCACACACACACGCCCCTGTGATTGTCTCTCTTTGTGCAACAATTATTTTCAGTTTCCTTGTGGAGACACATGCTGTTTCGTGTTTGTCTTGTTTTTTGGTTTCCTTGTAAGGTTCCGCTACCCCTCCTTCCTCCTCCGCCCTCCCTCCTCATCCTTCCTTCCTCAATGCAGTTACAGTGGGATTCCATTAAGAAACCAGATGACCACCTCACTCCATCCCCCTCCTCTCCAAATAGGGATGCGATAGGAATGCGACCGGGATTCCTACCGGTAGAGAAGGACAGGGAGAGTGCGGTGAGCAAGTCCTTTCGCTTTTTGGTTTGCAATCATATTACGTCTTCATCAGAAAGGAGGGAGAGAGGAGGAGGGATGGTGGAGAAGGGAGGGGGGTCGCGGAAGCTTACCAGGAACATCGGAAATCAATACAAAAGCAGGACTACAATTAAGGAAATAATGCAACCTTGTGATTGCCGCTTCTTTATTGTTTTTTAGGTTTTCCCTACGAGAGCACAGGTTTTGACATGTTTTTCTCTTCTTCCTGGTAAGCTTCCGCTGCCCCTCCTCCCTCATCCGCCCTCCCTCCTAATCCTTTCTTCCTCCTCCAATGCGATTGCAATAGGAGTGGAATAATGAACGAGATGATTACCTCACTCCATCCCCCACGTCATCCAATAGGAATGCGGTAGCAAAGCAATTGGGATTCCTATCGTCAGGTAAGGAAATGGTAGAGGGCGGTGAGAAAGCCCTCATTGCGCTTGCCTTGGAGAAGGAGAGGAAGAGGAGGAGGAAGGGTGGAGGAGTGAGGGGGCGCGCGGAAGCTTGCCAGGAAACTATGGGAAACAAATATGAAATACAGGGAAAGCCGTCTGTTTTCACAGTGAAAAAAACACAAAGCACGAAACCTGTGGTTCTCGCTCTGCCCTCTGTGTGAAAACATGAAGCTTCAGGGGAAAAGCGAGCAGGCTGGCAGCGACGAGCGCGCAGGCAGGGGAGGCCGGGGCCGGGCAGGCGGGCGGGCAGGGGGAAGCTTTTATGCGTTAAGCAGTGGCGAAGCGTTTTGGCTCGCCGATAGGCCCACCAAATAGTGTTCTCAGAACCGTTTGTGGTTTGCACGAAGTGTTCGTAGAGCATCTCTGGCTGGGATTGCTTGCCCTGTTTCAACACATCGGGCCTACGTTCTAAGAACATGGCTTTTGTTATGAGAACGTGTTGGGGTTGAACAAGTCGCGGTGGGCCTATAAGAGTGCCGGGACGGTCGGTCCCTGCTCAAGAAGCGGGGCCTGGCAGAGACAGCTGGCAGGGGGCTCTCACGCCCCAGGAGGGAGGCGCCTTTCGGACGGGGCCGGCGGAGGGTCTGTGGTTTTCTTGATGGCTGTTCCGTCTTCGGCCACGCGCAGAGGGTGGTGGGGGGAAGGGGCTGTGCTTCTTAGAAGCACCCCTGCTTCTCAGAGGGCGCGCGGGCCTTGTCTGAAGATGTCAGGCCGGCGCCTTCCAAAGAGCAGCCTCCTTCGAAGGAGTCCTCCCCCTCCCTCCACCCCCTTGTGCGCGCCGCAATGTTCAGGAGGGGAACAAAAAACACAGACACAATTAATCGCTGATCCCCGGGAAAATATGGGAAAATATGGACTGGGGGGGGGCAGAAACCCAGAAAATATATGAAAATACTAGGAATCCTGTCATTTGTGTGTATTTATTTGTGTGTCCCAGGGCCCCTTCAGAGGAGCCCTCCTCCCTCCCTCCACCCCCTCGTACACTGTGGGGCCCGTTGGGCTCCCGGAGGACTTCCGCCCGCCGAGGGGGCACTCGCCTCGAGGGCGAGGGGCCCCCGCGCCCGCACGTCCACCCAGCGCTCGCCTGGGCCTGGCCGAGCGAGAGGGGGGGACGGGGAGAGGGCTAAGTCGGGCCTGCCCCCCTACAGGAGGAATGTTCGAAAATAGTACCAGGGGGGGATAGGAATCTATTCCCTATCCCCCCCTTTCGCCCGCCCAGGCCGGGCCGAGCGAGAGGGGGGGGCAGGGAGAGGGTGAAGTCGGGCCTGTCCCCCTACAGGAGGCAGATTCAAAAATGGTGCAACAAATGGTCTGGGGACGATGTATTGACACGTGTTTGTATTTTTTCTGCTTTTTGGGGGGTATTTTGCAGCTTTCGTCGGAAATCGGCCTGTAGGGGGACATGCCCAACCTAAGGAAAGGGGGGGTCACGAAATCTGCTGCATGCAGCTGGTTTCGGCCCCGCCGCCTGGCCCATTCCTCGATGCATTCATTGGCCGCCTCCCGGCGCCGGGAGGCGCTGGGAAACTCAGCCACGTGAGCTGATTCTCTACCCTGCCCTTTGCTATCCCCCCCTTTCGTTCCCCCCGACCAGGCCCGCCGCGCCATGCGCGTCCAGCCTCGTGGCGGTGATCGCTTGGGGCGGCCCAGGGGCGCTCCAGGGCGCCCTCGGGCGGGGAGCCAGGAGGAGGATAAGTCCGTTCCAGAGCGTTCCGGAGCGCTCTCGGAGCGTTCCGAAACGCTCTTAGAAGGCGACGGCGCCCGAGACACCCTCCAGAGCCGCGGGATCCCAAGGATTCTCGATGCATCCTCACCCGATCTTACCCTCGTCCTGGCTTCCTCTTACTCGGCGGCGAGCCCGGGGGGGAGTGAGAAGGGGCGGGCCTTCGCAGAGGGCTCGGAAGTCCCCCGCCTTTTGAGAGAAGCGTCCCAAGCCTCCCCCGAAGACACGGGAAACTTCTGAGCAGGCCAGAGTTCCTCTGAGAAGCCTCGCCGCCTCTTGAGAAGACCTGCTCTCCACACCTGGTCAGCTCCAGTCCGTGCCTCCGCGCCGCCCGCGGGCTGGCGTCTGGGGCGCAGCCTCGATCGTGGGCACGGCCGCGGCGCCTTCCTTCCCGTCCCCAGGGGCCCCAGGGGGGGCGTTGAGCTCCGGAGCGTTCGCTCCTCCGACCTCATGCTTCGTGCCGTGCTTCGCTGGCTCCTGCTCCCTCTCGCTTCCTCCCCCCCCCCCCTCGCTCGCCGCCGACCGCCGTCCATATAGGGGCCGATGTGTGGGTCTCAGCTCGCCCAGCCCCGAGAGGTGCACACGCTGGTGGGCGCGGGCGGCAGTGGCGCCGAGGGCGGCGGCATCGACGCCGCCAACCTCCTGAAGCCGGCCCTGGCGCGCGGCGAGCTCCAGTGCATCCGAGTATCGTTTCACCGATCCCCATCCCCAGCGGCGCGGCCTGGGCCCCACTGGGCCCCCCCAGGTGGGCATGTAGGCCGTTCCCTTCGGGTTGCGAGGGGTGTATCCCCAGCTGGGGTGGTACTTTGGTGGGGGTCTCGAAGGGGATGGGGATGGGGATGGGGGTCGGTTAAACGATACTGCGCATCGGCGCCACCACCCTGGACGTCGGAGCAGGCAAAGGTACCCATACCGTTCTACCTCTCGCCCGTGTTCCCACTGTTCGGGCCTCTTCGGAGGCCCTCGTCGCCACCGCCAGATTCCACTCGAAGCCCCGGTCAGAACCCAGCCTGGGAGAAGGCCGGGGAGCAACATCATTCGTACCTCTGTGTTTCCCCCCAGGACGAGTACCGCAAGTACATCGAGAAAGATCCCGCCCTGGAGCGCCGCTTCCAGCCCGTGACCATCCCCGAGCCCACGCAGGAGCAGGCGGTGCTGATCCTCGAGGGCCTGGCCTCGAAGTACGAGCGCCACCACCAGCTGCGCTACACGCCGGAGGCGCTCGCCGCGGCAGTGAGGCTGGCCTCGCAGTATATCGCCGACCGCTTCCTCCCCGACAAGGCGATCGACGTCATGGACGAGGCCGGGTCCAAGGTCCGGCAGCAGCTCTACCAGGAGTCGGCTGCACGTAAGCGTGACCCTTCGCTTAAGTCGGGCATGTCCCTCCACAGGCTGGATATGCGAAAATGGGCCAACAAATAATCTGGGGACGATGTTTCGACTATCGTTTGACATTTCTTTGGCATTCGTCCAAAATCCGCCTGTAGGGGGACATGCCCAACCGAACCCTTCGCCGGAGTTACCTTTGCTGCGGGCCCATTGTCAGGAGGGGAAGAAACACACAGACACAATTAATCCTCGATTCCCCAGAAAATATAGGAAAATATGGGCAGTGGGGGGGAAGACAAAAACCCAGAAAATATAGGAAAATATGGGGACTATTTTTATTTGTGTGTATTTATTTGTGTGTCCTAATTTCCCTTTACACTGGGATCCCCCGATCGCCGGACGCGATGCGGTAATCGTAGCGCCCTGCGCGCCTTTGCCTGGCCCCCCCCCCTTCGGCTCCCAACAAGCCGCGCACCGAGCATCGCTCGTTTCCAGGGTCAGTCTGGCGTGTATCAGGAGGGGAGAAAACACACAGACACAATTAATCGGCGATTCCCCGAAAATATGGAAAAATATGGGAAGTGGGGGGGAAGACAGAAACCAAGAAAATATGGCAAAATATGGGGGATATTTTTGTTTGTGTGTATTTATTTGTGTGTCCTGGGGCCCCTTCAGTGTAGTCGACAGGAGGCTGAGGACGGCAAGGCGGCCGCGGAGATCTGGGCGGTCTGCCAGGAGCTCAAGGCGGTGGCGGCGCAGAAGAAGGCGGCCGTGGCCTCGGAGCGGTACGACGAGGCGCAGCAGCTGAAGGTGCGCGAGGTGGAGCTGAGCGAGCGCATCTCGAGGAAGGAACAGCTGCATGCACGTCTTCGATGCTCGTTTCGGGGACCTTCCTGGAGCCCACCTAACGGATCTGTTCGACCCCAGTTCGACTCGAGTTCGACTCAAGTTCGACTCAAGTTTGACTCAGGTTCGACTCAGGGTCGACCCAACTCGACTGACGTTCGACGCAGCTTCGACGCACGAGTGGAGCGAGTGGCTCCAGGAAGGTCCCCAGAACGAGCATCCAACACGTCGGTCGTGGTTGAAAGTAGGCAGTTTTTGAATTTCGGATCCCAGTCTACTTTTGCCGCCGCCCTGCTTCACAAGGCGGCTGGTGCGTCCCCTCTTCCCTCCTCTTCAGGGGGTGGGCGGACATGCAATCTACTTCCAGCGCCTTCCTGCCTCATGTTTCTGCCGAAGTCTTCGGACCGGCGGGTAAACAGGAAGTGTCGGAGGTTCGCGCGGATCTCCCGCATCGGCGCTAGTGACAGAGGCACCGCCAGGGTGGCCCAGCGCGGATCCAAGAACTTCGCACTGACCTCCAGATGCTTGTGGTTGTGCTCGTTTTTCCTTCCTCGAGCATCAGCGAGCTGCAGAACACGCGCGGTGTCGGCAACGCGCCCGAGGCTCGGGTCCTGCTAGAGGAGTTGAGCGGCCTGAAGGCGCAGGTGCAGGAGCTCGTGGACGCGGAGCGCTTCGGCGAGGCGCACGAACTCAAGGGCCGCGAGCAGGATATCACCAAGCGACTCTCGCGCATCGAAGGCTGCCCGGTCGACCTGGTCGATCGTACCGTCACGGAGGAGGACATTGCGGAGGTGGTTTCTACCTGGACCGGCATAGCCGTGGATCAGGTCTTGGAATGGCAGGAACAACATGAGTCAGAAGATGGCGAGTTGAGACAACGGCAGTTGGCTTTCGGGTGGCCCGCCGTCGCCACGGCTGGACGCAGCTCGGAAAGCAAGTGCGTTTAGACCCCGGGAGGGGTTTGGACACCCCTTTTTGAGCGGCCGTCGTCTCAACTCGCCCGCATCTAAATGAGCATCATTCGTATCACTCCGCGCATACCCACCCGCCCATGCAGGAACGATGCCCAAGGGGGGCTGCCATTCTCCGGGGAGCGTGGCATCACTCTGAGAGGTCGGGGAGCCTCGTTTCATGCCCCTCTCAAGGTCGGGGCGAGCGAGTCCAGGAGGCTGATGGGCCTGGAGAAGGCGCTCCACGAGACCATCATCGGCCAGCACGAGGCGGTCAGCGCGGTCGCGAGGGCACTGCGTCGCTCGCGGGCGGGGCTGCGGAATCCGGACAGGCCGATCGCCAGCTTCATGTTCTGCGGACCCACAGGCTTCCGCCACGAGGGAAACTCGGGCATTGTAAAACGACGCGAGGATCGGGACAAAATCGGATCGGGATATCTCGAAATCTCTGAGAATCGGCGGCTTTGGAGCATGTATTGGGCGCCGCGGCCGCTCCAGAGCGTTCCGGAACGCTCTGAGAGCGCTCCAGAACGCTCTGGAGCGATTTATCCCGATCCTAGCCCTGTTTTAAACTCGGGCATTGAGAGAGCGCCCACCCAGACAAGTCGATCGAGGAAGTCTGCACAGGTTCATTTGGCAGTGGCATTTGAGTGTGCTGGTGTACTTCGCGGTCGGATTTGCCAATTGACATGCGTTTCGCCGGATACATTCCGTTGTTTTTGGACGTGGATTGGCTATCATGTTGTGGTCTATTGGGGGTGCAGTGTCGTGCGCACGTGGTCAGAAGAACTGCCTCTTGCCATATGGGTGTCCTGCCCTCCCTCCCCCCGAGAGAGGAGTCCTTTAGAGGGTCGGGATCTAAGAAGCGGGCAAGCTAAGGCAGCGGTAGGTGGCCTTGGGGGGGGGGGCCCTCGTCGCCACGGTTACACGCAGCTCGGGAGGCTGGTGCGTCTGGACCCTGGGGCCAGGCTCGACCTGGACGGTGTTTTCCATCTGTCTCGTGGGCCGTTGTCGTTTTGACATCGTTTCTGTAAGTGAAGGCGGAGGGAGCTCCAGCGAAGGCCCCAGTGGCAGCGCTCGCATGCGGATCCACCCTCATTTGGCGCACCCCTCACGGGGTTCGTGGCGCCATAGGGAGCTTCACCGAAGGCCCCAGTGGCAGCGTTCGCATGCAGTTCCACCCTCATTACGACGAACCCCTCACGGGGTTCGTGGCCCTATAGGGGGTTCCACCGAAGGCCCCAGTGGCAGCGTCCGCATGTAGTTCCACCTTCATTTCGGTGCACCCCTCACGGGGTTCGTGGCGCCATAGGGAGCTTCACCGAAGGCCCTAGTGGCAGCGTTCGCATGCAGTTCCACCTTCATTTCGGCGCACCCCTCACAGGGCTCATAGCCCCATAGGAAGCTCCATCGAAGGCCCCAGTGGCAGCGTTCGCACGCAGTTCCATCCTTTTTTCGGCGCACCCATCACAGGGTTCGTGGCCCCATAGGGAGCTCCAGCGAAGGCCCCAGTGGCAGCGTTCGCATGCAGTTCCACCTTCATTTCGGCGCGTTCGCATGCAGTTCCACCCTCTTTTCGGCGCACCCCTCACAGGGTTCGTGGCCCCATAGGGAGCTCCACCGAAGGCCCCAGTGGCAGCGTTCGCACGCAGCTCCTCCCTGTTTTCGGCGCACCCCTCACGGGGTTCGTGGCCCCATAGGGGGCTCCACCGAAGGCCCCAGTGGCAGCGTTCGCATGCAGTTCCACCCTCATGTCGGCGCACCCCTCAAAAGGTTCGTGGCCCCACAGGGAGCTCCACCGAATGTACTCACAAGTGCGGCACTCACAGCTGCATATGGTTGGGTCTTTCGCCAGGCTAGTTTTAAGCGAAAGGCAAAGAGAGGGAACACGGAAGCATCACGACATCGGAACACATTGCCATTGGGTCGATCCCTGCCCTGGGAGGGGTTTGGGGGCCGGTGTGGAGCTGCCGTTGTCCCGAGTCGCCTGGCTCCGATTCAGGCGGGCCCCAAATCTGGATCCATCGCGCCAGAGCGTGGGCTCTCAGATGCGGTCGGTTCGGGGAGCTTGCCCTTATGTTCTTCGCGTTTGTTGAGCAGTCTTGTGCATCCTGGGGGAAGGTGCCCTCGACGGTTCTTCAGTTTGGCCGGGCGAGGGGTCTCATGTTCTTCAGGGATGTTCTTCTGTCCTGGGTCCGTCCGTATCCGCGATTTGCCCGGACCCTTTTTTGTGGTGGCGGTCCTTGGAGTCGAGAGGCAGAATCGGCACAAGTTGCGCTCTGGGTCGGCGCTGGACCTCCCTGACAGCGCCTCTGGAGCTGCCCTGAGGCGTGCCAGGGAGGGGGTCCAGCGAGGAGGAGGAGGAGGAGGAGGAGGCACAAAAGGAGAACGAAGGGGGGGGGGGGGGGGCCGCGAGACGAAAAGGAGGGAGGGGAGGAGGAGGAGGAGGAGGAGGAGGAGGAGGAGGAGGAGGTGGAGGAGGAGGAGGAGGGAGGAGGAGGAGGAGGAGGAGGAGCAGGAGGAGGAGGAGGAGGAGGAGGAGGAGGAGGAGGGGGGAGGGAGGTCCGCGCGGACCTCGCAGGGCTTATGATTATGCTGGTGTCGCTCCTCCAGAGGAAGGGACGAGGTGAGTCCTGCTCCTCCTCCTCCTCCTCCTCCTCCTCTCCTCCTCCTCCCCCCTCCCCTCCTCTCCCCCTCCACCTCCTCCCCCTCCCCCTCTCCTCCTCCTCCTCCTCCTCCTCCTCCTCCTCCTCCTCCTCCTCCTCCTCCACCTCCACCTCCAGCCTCCGGCCTTCGATGCCAAGCAGGTGTCGGCAAGACTCACGTGTGCAAGACCTTGGCGTCGACGTTCTTCGGCTCGGCGGACTCCATGATCCGCCTTGACATGAGCGAGTTCATGGAGAAGCACACCGTCTCGAAGCTCATCGGGGCTCCGCCGGGCTACGTGGGCTACAGCGACGGCGGCACCATGACGGAGGCCGTTAGGAGGCGCCCGTACTCGTTGCTGCTCTTCGACGAGGTGGAGAAGGCCCACCCCGACGTCTTCAACATCATGCTGCAGCTGCTGGACGACGGGCGGCTGACGGACTCGAAGGGCCGCACCGTGTCCTTCGCCAACACCCTCGTCGTCATGACGTCCAACCTGGGCAGCCGGTCCGTGCAGAAGGGCGCCGGGGGGAGCTTCGGGCTCGGCTTCGGCACGGCGGACGACGAGGACGGGGTCCTTTCGATCCGATCGATCCGATCGATGTCGATTTCGGCCGATCCGATCCGATTCGATGTGCCGACATTCCGATGCGTCCTGAGACCCGCGTGGCGTTGTTGTGCATCCTGGCGCGGCTGGTCCAAGTCGATTTTGACTCCGTGCTGATCGGAGCCGATGTGCTTCGATCCGATGTTGATGACCTTGGAAGGAGGAGGAGAGCTACGCTGCCATGAAGGAACTCGTGATGGAGGACATGAAGTCCTTCTTCCGGCCAGAGTTCATCAACCGGTTGGACGAGCTGGTGGTGTTCCGGTCCCTGACCAAGGAGAACGTGCGCGCCATCGCCGAGGTGGAGTTCCGGCAGGTGCTCGGACGCCTCGGCGAGCGCAATCTCGACGTTACGCTCACTCAGGCGTTCAAGGACCAGGTGGTGCCCGAAGTAAAACGGGTTCATTTGCGCTGGCATTCACGTGCAAGTTGCTCGCGTAAGGTCGTGCGTAAGCGCCCTCGTCTCCAGCGTGGCGTGCCGCGCTGGCGGCCCGCGCAAGCCACCGCGTGAGGTTGCTATGCCATCTCGCGAAAGGCGCACCACCCACCAAACCGCCCCAACCCGACCCCAAGGCCTCTTTGCCCTCCGCTCCCACTGGGGGGGGGAGGGGTCGGGGAAGTCAGGCACAAAAGCCGCATGTGGAAGCCGTACCCCCCCGCCACCCTCAACCGGATCTGGGGGTCTTCGGGTGAGGTCGGGGATAGTCTGGCAGGTGGTCAAAGGCCCCTTCCCTCTCGTCGCCGAGGGGTGAGCGACGGGAGAGAGAACGGGGCCGCGCGCGGCCGACGCTGGCGCGCAGGCTCCCCGCGTGGGGCCCCGCGGGGGCGCCTCCCCGCCTCCCCATGCGGCGGGCTCTGCGGCGGGGGCCCGCGCCGGCCGCGGCGGAAGGTCGTCTTGCCATCCTTTAGGGGAACGAAGCATGACGTCAGCATAACACACTGTCGGAGGTCCGCGCTGGACCCCCTGGGCGGCGCCTCCAGCGCCGATCCGAGAAATCCGCGCTGTGCGCCAAAAGTTTATGCTCATGGCGTTTGTTCTTCTTCTAGTAACTAGGTCGTCCTGGCATCTCTCGAGTTGGGGATATCGACTGCAGAATTGATTCACCCCAAGAATGACTTGTGCGCCGGATCCATGAGAAATGCGCAGAAGGCTCGCGTGGATCTACGAACATCCTACGTCTGACCTGGCAGGAAAATCACTTTTCCGGCAAATCAATTCTACAATATATTCTCTACTCGAATCGCTAGAGGAGCACGCAAACATCATAGACAAACGTTCGCAAGGTTCGCGCGGCTTTCTTGGATCGGTGCTGCGAGGCCTCCCTGGCGGATCGCCTCCGAGGGCGAAGCCCGGCGCCGATCCAAGAAGGAGCCCGCGCGGACCTCCAAACGCTCTCGTGTTCATGTCTCGGTGATCCTCGGGGCGTGTGTTAGCCGAATGTGTTCTTACCACGTTCGGCCTGTGTCGGCCATCGTTGCACCACCTTCGTCGTATTGGAGGGCTTCGGTGGTCCAGCACACGTTGGCGCTAATGCACGTTCTGAGGATCATCGGATGTCGAGTGTGGCTGCGGCGTAAGGTCGCCGTGCCATCTCGCGAAGGACCAGTTTCTCGTCGTCGTTCAGGTGAACGGCGTTGAAAAAAATGACGGGGTCGGCTTCGCCGACATTGGCGCGCAAGCTGCCCGCGTAAGGTCGCGCGTGAGTGCCCTCGCTTCAGTCGTAGCGTGCCGCGCCGGCGGCCCGCGAAAGCCACCGCGTGAGGTCGCTATCTGCTCTGCCATCTGGCGAAAGATGCGTTTTCCCACGAGTCTCGTGCGCTACAGTCGGGGCCCTGAAGAAGGAACCCTTTTCGTTGGGGAGGGGCTCCGTGTTCCTTAATTGTTTCGCAGCTTGCCTTGGATTTCCCGTAGGTTTTCGATCGGAAATATCGAAGTTCAACTTATGGAAAATAGGGGCCTCGTTCCTTACTTAGGGTTCCTTGGGTCAAGGCCCCGACTGAATGCCTCCGCGCCGGCGTGCCGCGCAAGGTCGCTGTGCCATCTCGCGCAGGGCCCGTGTTTGATCGCCGCCCAGGTGGTGGAGAAGGGCTACGACCCCGCCTTCGGCGCGCGGCCGCTGCGGCGAGCGATCTCGGCCATGCTGGAGGACACGTTGGCGGAGCACCTGCTGGAGGCCGCGGGCGAGGGCCCGGACGACGGGCAGGCCGACGGCGCTGGAGCCGGGGAGGAGGCTCGGGGGCAACGGTAGGGGGGGTGGAGGGTTTCTCCGAAGGGCTGAGGCGACCCGTCCTCCTCCTCAACCTCCTCCCCCTCCTTCTTCCCCTCCTCCTCTCTCCTCCTCCTCTCTTCTCCTCCTCCTCCTCCTCCTCCTCCTCCTTCTCCTCCTCCTCCTCCCCCTCCTCCTCCTCCCCCTCCTCCTCCTCCTCCTCCTCCTCCTCCTCCTCCTGCTCCTCCTCCTCCCTCTCCTCCTCTCTCCCCCTCCTCTCTCCTCCTCCTCTCTCCTCCGCCTCCTCCTCCTCCTCCTCCTCCTCCTCCTCCTCCTCCTCCTCCTCCTCCTCCCTCCTCCCCTCCTCATCTCTCCCCCTCCTCCTCTCTCCTCCTCCTCTCTCCTCCTCCTCCTCCTCCTCCTCCTCCTCCTCCTCCTGCCCTGGCGCCCTCGGCGGGTGCCTGCCCGCGCCCTGGCGCAGCGGAAGCCCTGGCCCCGGGCGGCAGCCCCGGCGGGGCACCAGCGGGCCTCACGAGGCGAAGACATCACGCTCAGGGAGCTGGCGGACGCGCTGCTGGCGGCGCACCGTCGCGGCGTGGCCGTGCGGGTGCTGACCGACGACAGGCAGGCCGAGGGAGCCGGCTCCAGGGTGGGCCAGCTGCGCTCCGCTGGGATCGCTGTCCAGACGGACAACGACATACGGCTCCACATACACCACAAGTTTGCCGTTGTCGACGGGGAGCTGCTCTTGAGTGGATCCTTTAATTGGACAGGCCCGTCCGTCACGTCGTCCTACGAGAACGTCATCGTCAGCCACGCGCCGGCCCTTGCCAGCTTGTTCGGGGGGGAGTTCGACCGCCTTTGGAAAGGGTTCGGAAGGGGCGACGCGGGTACCGCCAAGTCCTCGGTGCCTTCCAACACGGTCGAGAGGTTTGCCGTCTTGTTCTTTCCAGACACCAGTGGCACCAACGTGGGCGCCATTGTAGACGAGATCTCAGCGGCAAAGCGCAGCATCGACGTTGCCATGTTCGTCCTGACTTTGGACAGGTTGGCGGATGCTCTTTTGGAAAAGCGTCGGCAAGGCGTGAGGGTTCGCCTAATCACGGACCGCCACCAGTCCAACGCAGGAGGGGCAGATGCGAAACGCTTGGCTAAAGCTGGCGTGCGCGTTCGCATCAACCCGCCAGGCGACTCGGACCACGATCGACGTTGCAACATGCACCACAAGTTTGCAGTGGTCGATTCCTCTGTGCTTATTTCTGGGTCTTTCAACTGGACAGCCCAGGCTGCGAAGGGCAACCAAGAAGACGCGGTGGTATACCTGGAGTGCCAGGAGCTGACGGCAAGTTTCGCGGCGGAGTTCCAGCGCCTGTGGGACGCTTTCGAGCAGCTGGACCGACAACGTTGTTGCTGTCTTCCCTGAACATCGGCAGCGACGGGCCCGGAGCTCGCAGGGTCAGGAATGACTCGCGCCGAAGGGGCACGGGCCCTCCTCATCGAAGGCGCCTCGAAAGGAGAAAAAAAAAAAATCCTCCTCCTCCTCCTCGGATCGCCTACGGCCCCGGGGGAAATCATGCAGGGGGAAGCATCGGCCTCGAATGTTGCGATGCTCCGGCCTACTGTAGCTTTCAGCGCCAGCAAGGACGTCGAGCACCAAGAAATAATCCAAACTGGAGTTGTTTCACGTGTCGGGCCCTGGGAGACGATCCCCTTTCGACACTTCGCTAGCGCGTCGGGCAGACGCTGTTTCGATTATTTTCTAGGCTCTTGGATGTCGTCCTTCAGTGCGATGGGAACAACATAGTTCGAATGGTTGATACATCGACGTTGAATCGGCGATGCATCGTTGGTATCAGGGCGGTGCATCGGCGATGTATAGACGACACATGGGGCGGTCTGTATCGACGATGCATCAAGGATGCATTGGCGATGTACCGGCCATTCGAGGTTGAGGCATCATCCTTATGCCCTTCACCCCCGATCGTTGCACCTCAGAGGCCCGCCAGTCCATCAAGGTGGACGTCGACGGGGAGACGGGGCGGGCCATGTCGAAGGTGAAAACACGGCACAAACAGATTGTCGAGTTAGCTTGGTAGTTTGGTAGGTCGACCGTGCCAAATGCTTTAGCGACCCTCGTGTTCTACATTCCTATGGCAGCGTGGCCTTCGGAAGGGTCTCGTGTCCTCTCGCGTGTCCTCTCTCTCCACTCGAACTCGACTGTACACTGCCGGAGCTCTGCGCGGATTCCTTGGATCCGCGCTGGACCACCCCTTGGCTGCGCCTCTGGCGCCGCCACTCCGCGCGCCAGGGAGATCCTCCTCCTCCTCCTCCTCCTCCTCCTCCTCCTCCTCCTCCTCCTCCTCCTCCTCCCCCTCCTCCTCCTCCTCCTCCTCCTCCTCCTCCTCCTCCTCCTCCTCCTCCTCCTCTGCGCGGAGCTCCGAGGATGTCTGTGTCTGTGCGGGCGTTTCCCCTTCGGCCATCGTGCTGCAGGCCAGGGAGGGCTCCAGGGCGGCCCGGGGCCAGCAGTCCGTCGGCGTCGGGGCCCGGGGCTTCTGAGCTGCCTATTATCTTCGGGCGCGAAGTCAGGGGGGCGGGGGCGATAAATGTCAGGAGGGAAAGAAACACACAGACACAATTAATCGTCGACTCCCAGGAAAATATGCAAAAATATGGGAAGTGGTGGGGAAGACAAAAACCCAGAAAATATGGGAAAATATGGGGGATGTTTTTATTTGTGTGTATTTATTTGTGTGTTCCAGTTCCCCTTCAAAATGGCGGGGGAGAGGGGTGCCCTTTTCGGGCCCTGCTGGCCCCCTCTGGGGCCCCAGCGGGCCCCCTCAGGAGCCCCAGAGGGCACCCCTTTCTGCAGCCCTCGCTGCCCCCCCCCCCCCCGCATCTATCGCCCCCCATGAGTCCGCGCCCGATATCATCGTCCAACCGGCGGCGAGCGCGGGGGGGAAGTGAGAAGCGGCGGTCCTTCTCAGAAGGCTCAGAAGTCCCCCAGTCTTCTGAGACGTTTCCTGAGCCTTCCCCCATGATGCAGAACAAATTGCTCAGAAGGCCTTGTACTTCTCACTTCCCCCCCTCGCTCGCCACCGAATCTTCCTCAAGGCCTGCCGATGCTGCCTTCAAGGGGGAGTCTCAGCAATCTCCGGCGGCGTCGGCCGACTTCCTCACCAGTCCTGCCCAGACCGACCTTGGGCCCAGGATCGGTGCCCGATGTCTCTGGACGGGACAATCATCGCCCCCCCCTCGAATCCGCTGGGGGGGTTGGGCACGTGCTGTTGGAGCTTGTGAAGAGGGGGTTGGAGGAGGAGGAGGAGGAGGAGAGGAGAAGGAGGAGGAGGAGGAGGAGAGGAGGAGGAGGAGGAGGAGGATAAGGAGGAGGAGGCGGAGGAGGAGGAGGAGGAGGAGGGGAGGAGGGGGAGAATGAGGGAAGGGGAGGAGGAGGGGGAGGATGAGGGCAGGGGGCGGGATTGGGCAAGCTTAGTCGGATGGTTACCCCCCCCCCTCGATAGGAAAAAAACAACAAGAACATCCAGAGCACGCGGCCCTGACCATCGGAGGTTCTCTTAAAACCCGACCTTGGGCCCAGTATCGGTGCCTTCGACTCCCTCAGCGTTAGCGGTTTTCATAGAGGGGATGGTCTCCCCTCCTGCTTTTCCTCCTCCTCCTCCTCCTCCTCCTCCTCCTGAATCCTCTTCCTCCTCTTCCTCCTCCTGCTCCTCCTCATACATCCTCCCCCTCCTCCTCCTCCTCCTCCTCCTCCTCCTCCTCCTCCTCCTCCTCCTCCTCCTCTTCCTCCTCCTCCTCCTCCTCTCGTGCGCGGCCTTCGTGGGCCTCGTCGAGGGTCGTCTGCGCCGGCATTCGCGCGCAAGCTGCCCGCGCAAGGTCGCGCGTGTGCGCCCTCTCCAATGGAGCGCGCCGCCGCGTGACCCACCGCGCAGGGGCGCGATGCAATGTCGCGCCGGACCCGATGGCGATCGTCGCCCAGGTGGGGTCAGAGGACGAGCTGAGCCGGATGCTCGCGGCTCCTTCCAGGGGCCCTTTCGGGCCACGCCCTTCGAGCCCCGCCTCTGCCCCTGTCTCCCCCCCTCTTGGAGGTGTGGTGTGGGGCAGAGGTGGGGTTCGGCCAGGAGGGCGCGTGCTCGGATCCGGGGCCCGGCCAGGATCGGCGAGGTGGCCAGGTTGACGCCGCCGGGCAGTCGAAGAATTCAGCCTGCGTGCTGTGCGGGCGTTGCCTGCACAGTGGACAGTGGACCCTGCCGGGGACCCAAAGAATATACACCACCACCACGTCGATTCCTCCTCTCTCCTCTACCCTCCTCTTCCTTTCTTCTTTCCTGGGAGAGGGAGGGGTTGAGGGAGGTGGTGCTGGTGTATATTTTTGGGCCCCCCACCTGCTTTCGCACCGATATAGAGGGGATCTGCTACAGGGCGGTTGCCTGCAGCGCCCTGCCGCCAGCGCCCGCAGGCGCTGGCCGAGCTGTACAAAAAACTCATTAACTAAGACGGGCCCCCCTGGGGCTGGGCCACGGCTTCGCGGACGTCCAAGCTCATGTGGATCCAGGCCTCCCAGGTCGGGTCGGGGCAGCTGGGTTCGGAGGATCGCGCCGCATGGCCGATGCATCGGCGATGCTGCTCGATGGGGAGCCAGATTTTCTCCACGCGGACGTCGCCGCTGCATCGCCGCATCGCCGATGCATCGACGATGCTTCGCTGATGCATGCATCGGCGATGCGGCGAGATTATCCGACCCGATCTCCTGCGACCCCATCTGGGAGGCTTCTTATGGATGGGGGCTCGAGCTGCAGAACGGGCTGCGGCACGATCTGCAGCTCGGGCTGCGGCTCGGGCTGCGGCTCGGGCTGCAGCTGTGGCTGCGGCTCAGGCTGCAGCTAGGCCTATGCTGCAGCTGCGGCTGCGGTTCGGGCTGCGGCTGCGGCTGCGGCTGCGGCTGCAGCTCGGGCTGCAGCTGTGGGATGCGGCTCGTGCTGCGGCCCGGGCCGCAGCCGTGGCTGCAGCGGGGGCTCGGGTGCGGCTGCGGCTGCGGCTAGCAGCTGTGACTCGAGCTGCAGTTGTGACTGCGGCTCGTGCTGCGGCTGCGGCTGCGGCTCTGGCCTCGACAGCCCGAAGGGGCCGGGGGTTCCTAGCGCCGGGTGGCCCGGAGAATCACCGCCGCCGCTCTGACGGGGGGCTGTCCGACGCGGCAGCGCAGCGGTCGGCGCGCGGGGCGCTGTACATAGATCGGCTCGCGGCTCGTGCTGCGCTCATGGGCTCGGTCGGCAGCTGAAGTACTGCGCCAATCCTTCGTCCGCCCTGACATCGGAGACGCCTACGGCGAATCACCGCCGGCCCCTGCCTGTCAGGACACGCCCATGTGGCCAAACGTTAGGGCAACGTTCGGCCCCACGCTATTGGACCATGCGTTCCCCCAGGCGTTGTGGAAGCCCGTCGGGGAGCACGTGGTGCATGAGGTGGAGGAGGAGGAGGAGGAGGACGACGACGAGGAGGAGGAGGAGGAGGAGGAGGGCGAGGAGGAGGAGGAGGGAGGAAAACGGAGGATGAGGAGAAGACTGAGAAGACCTCTTTGGAGTTTCTTGGGTCATTCTTGGGGTCTTCTGTAAGCTTCCTGGGGGCCTCTGTGGGGCCTCCTGGGCCTCTTTGGGGCCTTTGGGGGCTTCTTGGGGGCTTATTTGGCCTTCTAACGGCGTTCCTGGCCCGCCTGACGCCGTCGGACACCGTTTTTGAAGCATCTTGGGCCGTCTTGGAACCCCCTTTCGGCGCTTCGGCCTCTTGGGCCGTCTTAGGGGCCTCGTGGGCGCTTCTTGAGCAGGCTTTGGCTCTCTTGGACCATCTTGGCGGTCTTGGAGGCCTTTTGGGACCGTCTTGGAGGTCGTTTTGGGACTGGATTCAGCTGTTTTGGGGCCGTCTTGCCCAGCTTGGAGACATCTTGGAAGCTATCTTTGCCCTCTTGGAGCGATTTGGGCAACGGGGTATTGGTTCATGAGCTTTCCGGGTGGCCGGCGGGTTGGGCCGACGCCCCAGTGGGAGTCGACAAGACCCCATTCCCATCAAACATTCAGCACGCCGTGCACCGCTGTGGCAAACCACAGTGGGCGGCGGATCGAAGACGACTACGGCGAATCACCGCCGTCCCCTGCCTTTCAGGATACGCCTATGTGTGCAAACGTTTGGACAAAGTTTTGCCACGCTATTGGACCATGCGTTCTCCCAGTCGTTGTGGAAGCCCTTCGGGGAGCACGTGGGAGGAAGAAGAGGAATAGAGGGAGGAACGAGGAGGATCCCTGGGCCTCTTGGTGGCCTTTGCGGGCTCCTTGAGGCCAGTTTGGCCGTCTTGCAGTGTTCCTGACCTGTCGGAAACCGTCGTGGGAGCCTGTTGGCCGTCTCAGGGGCCTCTTG